AAAAAAAATTCTGTGGCTCAAATGTGCTAATGTTTGCATCTTAAATTATGACAGTTGAGGCGGCTTATAATGTGGTTCTAAAGTTCTGACACAAAAAAAAAAAACTCTGTGCTAATATTTGCATCTTAGCCTCGTACAGCTTATAATGTGGTTCTAAAATCATTTTTCTTTATTTCAGGTATAAATTGGATGTTGTGAGTGCAGGAAAGAATTTCACCAAGATTAGGAAGGCAATCACAGCAGGATTCTTTTTTCATGCTGCTAGAAAGGACCCTCAAGAAGGCTATAGGACGCTAGTTGAGAACCAGCCAGTGTACATTCACCCCAGCAGTGCACTTTTCCAGAGACAACCGGACTGGGTCATTTACCATGAGCTGGTAATGACCACCAAAGAGTACATGCGAGAGGTAACAGTTATTGATCCTAAGTGGCTTGTGGAATTGGCTCCAAGATTCTTCAAAGTAGCAGATCCTACCAAAATGAGTAAGCGCAAGCGTCAAGAACGTATTGAGCCACTCTATGATAGATACCATGAACCTAATTCTTGGCGTTTGAGCAAACGACGTGCATGATGTACGGTTAACTTTGCTATTTTCTTCAACTAGTTGTGGAATTCAAGGTATTGCAGAACCTGCCATAATTGTGTATATATATATTTCACTGTACAACTTTATGAATTGATTTTGACAATTAGAAGGATGAAATTTTTCCCCCAAATATTCCAGGGTGGGAGGACTATCGTTTGTTCAACTGTTGTTTGATTTGTTGAATTTTTCTAACTTGAAGATTAGTGGTTTTTTGTTGCTGCTGCATTTTATTATCAGTATTTATTATTTTGTCTGCTACTAACAATGTTTATTTTGTTTTGATAACAAAGCTCAAAAGCATAACGGAATCCACACGGGTTACTAAAACAGGAAAGAATTGTGGGAGTTAGGGTGATAAATTAAGTTGCGGCTCTTTTTTTTTTTCCAACAGAAGTTGCATTTTGTCTGTGATTGTCCTAACTGGCTACTGTCACAAGGATTTATGGTCGCAAGTGAATAGACAGAACAAGGATTGGATGATCCTCGGTGGTATGATCTAGTCTACTTCATATGTGCGTATATACAAGGAATGGTTTTAATTGGAGTTTCGTCAGATAAAGGTATTTCTCTCTTGTGCCTGCAATATCTTCTCTCGTGGTAAGAAACTCCTGGTTCATAGTTTTGTTGTAATTAATTCTCTCACTGTGATACGTGATATCTACTACCCCTTATGCAACATCATCTTGGTTCTCAATTGCATTCGCCCAAGTGCCTAGATATCCTTGAATGGACATATTTTACTATTACGAATATGCATATCCATTTAACTTTTAGTTATTATGAAAAGTTTTGTTATTTAAGAATTATTAAAATAGATTTATTATGAGTTTAGATTCTATTTCTTATGTAATTAGAAGTTCTATCTTGTTGTTGTCAATTGCTTTGATTGTGGATTGGAGTTATCATTTATCATTTTTTTTTTTTTTTTTCAATTTTCGATCTTTGTAAACCCTATTATGTTGTATCAAAGCTAAAAACTCTTGCTTCTTGTATCAAAGATTTACAACCACAAAACTCCTGAAATATTTCAAATCACAAAAATCCCAATGAGTCAATTTTTTTTCTTTTTAAGAAAAAAGAACCAGGAACTTAAAGCCACTGGAGAGAGAAACAAAGTACCAACCTTTTCACCCTTTTTTTAGATCTCTATCTAAAGTTGTGAGAGGATTGACGATGCCCTTGTCATCCATCTTAAAAACATATGAGCTGAAATCTGCCTCTCTCGCCAATCAACCACTATATTGTTCTTGCGTTTGAAAACCAGAAAAAGTGAGGAAAAAAAATCAGAAGCAGTTGAAGCTCGGAATTGCTGGACCATGAAGCAACTGAAGCCGAAGGCACTGGAAACTGATTCAGTTTCTGACTCGATAAATTTTTTTGAAAAGATGGTGAATAACTCAACATTCGGCAAGCAAACTGATGTTGCAAGTCATTATACCAAAGTAGAGAAAATAGAAATGGTAAGCATAAAGCTCTCATCTTTACTTTAGATACGAAAGAAATGACTATTTTGTTTTTAGCTCGAGAGAAAAATGCCCAGACTTAATTTTAAGCTTGATTCTCAAATGATACGCATAAAGAAAGCATGTAAACAATTCATGCTTCACAAAAAAAAAAAAATGAGAAGATGAGACATACATCAATCCTATTGAATGCATAATAGCCAAAAGGGAGTGTTCAAATTGGGCTGCAAGCAAACAGGTTCTCCAACTCCTAGAATTTGATTTTGAGGGTACGAGAAACGGTTTTTACTGAAGAACATCATTTAATGATGAAAATGCAAAAACACTACATTTATGTAATTAAGTCATAATATTTATTTATGATGTTAGTATTTGTTTATTTTGCTTTATTATCTAAAAATACACTTCAAACATTATCTAACCGACAACGCCCCCCACTAATTCTCGCGTCTTTCTCAATTTCTTATGCCAATCACTCCGTCCATAATTGATCTCCATTTCTTTTCTTTTTTTTTTTTGTTCTTTCTTTTTTGTTTGGTAAAATATTTGTAAGGAAGATCTACTTGCTCCACTTGACAGACAAGTCTCTCCATTTTCTAGCTTCTATTCTCTCTCCGTCTCCTTTTCTCTGCTCTCCGTTGCTGAACCAGAAGCAGAGAGCATATCACGATGGGGTCGGTCTCACTTAAGATTGGGGATGGAACTGCCAGATTCAGTAGGGCAACAATCTGCTCATCGGCCTTGAACATTTTAATGCTCTTCTCCGTCGTCATCACAAATCTCTTTGCCCTCTACGCCTTCACTTCCTCCCCAAATCCAAAGCCCCACCTACTTCACCCTGTCCACAAGAACATCTCACTAATCTCGGAGCAAGTCTCTTTGATCCTCAAGGAGATCGATTCTTCTCAAAGAAAGCTTGCCCAGATGGAGAAAGAGCTCTTGGGTTACGAAACTGTCGATCTTTCAAGACCCAACATTGCCACCGAGCTCAAATTGTTTCTACAGAACCATCAGCTTCCTCTGGGTAAAGATTCTCGGACTGGGATCACTGAAATGGTGGCCTCTGTGGGTCATTCTTGCGAGAAATCTGCTGATTTATTATCCCAGTACATGAGCTACAAGGTCTTCGGCCCTTGTCCTGATGATTGGAGCCTCTCCCAGAAGCTAATACTTCGCGGATGCGAGCCTTTGCCTCGAAGAAGGTGCTTTGCTAAAACCCTTCGTAAGGTGGGTCTCTCTCCTTTTCCTCTTTCTCTTTGGAAACCTGTTAGCGATAAGATTGTTACTTGGAGTGGTCTGGGATGCAAGAGTTTCGAATGTTTGAAAAATAAGAAATTGAATGGGGACTGTGTTGGTTGCTTTGATTTGGTTGATGGGTATGAAAACCAGAGATTTGTTAAAGCCAAAGGGAAGAATGATTTTCTAATAGACGATGTGTTATCTTTGGGTGGTGGCAAAATTAGAATTGGGTTTGATATTGGAGGTGGGTCTGGGACTTTTGCAGCTAGAATGGCCGAAAAGACTGTCACTGTAATTACCAACACCTTAAATGTGGACGCACCATTTAGTGAATTCATAGCTGCAAGAGGCCTTTTCCCTTTGTTTTTTAGTCTAGATCATAGATTCCCTTTCTATGATAATGTATTTGATCTTGTACACGCATCAAGTGGATTGGATGTCGGGGGCAAGCCAGAAAAGTTGGAGTTCTTGATGTTTGATGTCGACCGGATTCTAAGAGCTGGTGGCTTGCTTTGGTTGGATAATTTCTACTGTGCTAATGATGAGAAGAAGAGAGTTTTGACTCGTTTGCTTGAGAAGTTTGGTTACAGGAAGCTGAAATGGGTTGTTGGTGAAAAGGCAGATGCTGCTGGATCAGCCAAATCTCAAGTTTATCTGTCTGCTGTTTTGCAGAAGCCAGTGAGAGTGTGAGGATGAGGAGGCCAAGTTTTGATAAATACTGCAGGAGGTAAGAAAACTTCTAGTTTCTAGTTGGCCTCAAAACATCCCCATCATATTTATTTCAATATGGAATAAGTTCATTAAATTGTTTATGCTACCTGCTGCAAACTGGCAGTGGAATATATAATCCATCTATGTGATTTGAGGGCTTTTCTTTTTTGTTTTATAATGCTGTATTCTAGGCTAGAGAATTTCTACTTATTCAAACAATCAACTGTTAGGAAAGAAAAATTCCAGAGTTCATTTTTGAAATCTGTTAAAGTGATTCGCATCCATTGTTCTTTCACAAATGGATTTGCCTTTTAGAAGCAAAATATTTTTGTTAGCAGTAAAATGTTTTTTACTTCTCTGGGAATCATCAAGCCATTAAACTTATTTAAAACTATTTGTTTGCAGCAATCTGTTGGGACTTGGTATGGATCTTGATTCATGTTGCTAAATGCCTAAACTGCATTTTCCTTTACAAGCCCTGCTGTTCTTTTTTTTTATATTTTTCGTAATGTCTTAGTGTTGGGCTATATCCATTACTCTATTCATCTTGGAGGCCATTAGACTTGAGTTTACTGTTGGTATACATATCTAATATTTATACCATACCCTTCCAAACCATAACTTACTATATGCTTTCATCATTGGGCTTTATGCAAAATTGATAACAATTGTTTATAAAAACTTGATTCTTGAGACAAACTTTGGATGATCAAGAATATTTTAAATATAAGCTTAGGCTAACTCAGTCAATGGCCAATTCCAATTAGGCATTTCTGTAATTTTTTCACTAACAAATGAGAATAAGAAAAATTCATAATTGACAAATTGGATATATAAGTAGATTTAATTCAATTATTTATCAAATATGTAAATTATAACTAAATTTTATATATCAAATAATTAAATTTATTAATTGGATGAGAATAAAATATATTTGAACAAAAAGCATATATAAAATAAGTTATATTTACAAGATTATTGTTATTTGTAGTTAACATGAACCATTCATATCTAGAAATTTGTATCTTTACCATTACAACTAATTGCTCATTGTGATTTTATTAAGTTAATTATCTTTCTCATATTAAATAGTCCCAATATTTAGTAAATTTTTTTAAGTTTAACTGTGTTTTGATTATAAATCGTATTTAGTTTATAATACTTAATTCAATGGGTTTAGAACTTAAATAAGGTAGTGTATTGTTCGAGCTTTGATGAGCAAACTGGATTTTATGTTAACAAACTATAGTGAAATGAATATTTTCTTTGAAAGAGATTTTTTTAATTAAGATAAGTGGGTAGCTAGAACAAGTTAATTTCTAATCTATCTTTTTTCCAATAAAAAATTCTGAATGAATATTATTCTCCTAAAATAAACATAGATTATCTCCTTTAATTTTTCTTATGATCAATTTCACACATATTCTAAATTCATCGAGCTAATTAATTCAATTAAAAATATGATAAATTATTTGATACAATATAAACTACAAAATTCTTTATGTTATTAACTTCATTACCCATATATATTACTTTATTCATATTACAATTTGTAGTTATTATTGCTATTCCCTAAATGATGCAAGAATGGTTACTATATTGTTTTGAGATCACAATTATAAGACTAATATCGCTTGTAGATGGTTTTAAACTTGTGTGGTTGTAGGGTATGTGAAAATTGTTTAATGGTATACAAATGATTCTTCAAGATCTCACAGTAGTTTGGGCTGAGGGAATTTCTTTATTTATAAGGAGATCACTATCTCACTTCTTGTAGGATAAAATTTCAATTGGACAATATTTCATTTGAGCTTGTCAAAACCCTAACTATGTCATGGGTGCCATTTGTGAGAACTTGACCAGCTCTTCCCTATCTGCAGTATATCCCTTACATACAGACAGGAGATACATATATTTACAATTTCAGTTTGCAACAAAGAGTAAGCACTTGGAGCTGAATGGAAAATAAAAGATATATAATGGATGCCCTTAATCTGAAACTCATACTGGCCAGAGAATTTAACATAATTGGCGCCACACACTTTTAAGGAATGTTTAATGCCTGAGAAATTCAACTTAAACTTACAAAGTTACTATTAGTCAACTCCTGCCAATTTAAGAGGATGCAGTGAAACCCACAAAAATAGTATGAGAATCTTTCATCACCACCTTATGCTTCTAATATCTTATATGAATGCATCCTCTAGATTCAGATATGCTAATGAAATACACCTACACCACCTTCGTCAGCTACCTGAATCACTTGTGGGATCTCTTGGTTGTACCAATACTGTCTCTAACAACATTTCCAGATAGCCATCACACGTTTTCTTCATCAAATAAAATCCATCCTTTGGCAATCTGGTAAACTCATCAAGTTCAAATTGGCACATGTCAAGCACAGCCACCTTCTGATATAGCAACTTTCATGCCTTGCATTGCAGCGCTGTTCAAAAGCTTCATTCCCTCTTCACTCATCTGCTGAACTTCAGTTGGTGACAGGATTCTGATGCAACGAACACATCCAACAAATTCCCTGCACAGCCATCAGAAACCAGAGATATTCAACTTCTCCAAACTCAATCTCAAGTACCCACTTTACATGGAATCCAAAGAAATAAAGGTTTAAGCAGAAAAAGAAACAAGCAGCTAAATATCCGACATCACTAGATTATTCCAAGAAAAAAAAGAAAATGAAGAGCACCCGATCAAGGATCTGACACAGCCAGAAAACAAAGAAAGTCAACACTGTACCCGTTAGGATGTTAAGATTTACAATTCAGGTACATCAATTTTTATGTATCCATTAGCATGGAACTTAAGAATGGAGAAAATGAACTTACTCCCAGGGATCATCCCCAACAAGTAGAACATCATTCTCGTAGTCCACATATACCAACTTCCATCCTGAACCTCTCCGATCGTTAAGCAGCCCTTCAAGTCCAAACATGCATTCAATTGCAGAACACAGTTCATCATAGTTCTTAAAACTTGTGACATCAATTGACCTCCCAACAGATCCAGCTTTTTGAACCTGCCAGCCAACAGATACAACCAATGTTCATTTCAGATATTGCAGATAAATGAATATAATACATTCAATGTGGCCCTGCATCTGTGAAAATGATATGAGTTGATAGAGAACTGAACTGCATGCATAGGTCCCCTGATTAAACAGTTGAAATCAAAACAAAAAGGATAAAGATGACTGCAAATACTATTTTCAGACAATAAGTAGACCAATATATCAACTTCATTGTTGAGCCAAAATTATGCATTCTGCTTTATCTCAGAAAATATATCAATATGTAAACATGATCTGATTTTATAATTTTTTACTGCCCATGAGCAAGAAATCTCTTTTTTAAAAAATAAATGAGCAAGAAATCTCTTTTTTAAAAATAAATGAGCAAGAAATCTCCTTAATAGTCTCAGGAGTCTACAGTGATATGTGGCAAGCTACAGTCTGATACAACATAAAAAAAGTAGTTGAAAATCCATGTATAAATTGGCCTGTGATATTATCCAAGGTCATTGACTATATGTGCCTAAATAGCAAAATAATCACATTAGCCCAATAATTAACTTTCCAGCTTATGCTAAAGAAATAGTAGAATACCTTTGTATATGTTCGCACACGTGGTGCTACTTGCTGCCATGAACTATTCTGCAATAGACTGCTCTCATCAAAGTCAATATTGCTTGAAGATGTACCCCCTGAGTTGTCCGGGAAGTCCTGCCGAGACAATGCTTGGGATTCTGCAAGACTTGCAGATGTAATCTGAGATTGAACATCTTGACTAGTACTAAAGTTCCCTATTAAACAATCGGTTGGATTCTGGAAATCGGCTTCCTTTAATGAACAAAACTCATCCAGGATGGCATTTGAAACAGAAGGATTAATCACAGTACTTCCACCACCACCAGCCTCAATGTTAAGACAGCTATAAATTCCGCTCTGATTATTGCTTTCATCTGAAAGATCTCTAAGTCCAGTTGAATTAAGGCTGCATGGATCAGGCTGCATGAAGGAAGTAAACTGGTCAGGCTGTGAGAAGATCTTTAGATTATTCAGCTGATGATCCCAAATATCTTGATCCATTGAAGGGTTGAATACTTCGGATAACATTGCTGAAGAGTCTTGTGTGCCAAACATGGTTACAGGCCCAGGTGATGTATATGTTGTGGCAAGAGACTGGCAAGAAGAAAGATGCGATGTCCATTCATCAGATTCTGGGAATGAAGGTAACCCAGTTATGGTAGAATCAGATTGAGCTGGGTACATTTGTTGGGAGCATTCCAACTGAGGCTGCATGGTCCATGGATTAGATTGCAAATGTATCTGGTTATTTAATGTTGGTTGGTTCATCTGACTCTCTGAATTCATAGAAGTTGAGACAAACTTTTCCTTGTTGCACTCAGTCGTGGAAGTTAATTGGCTTAACTGATCAGTTGAATGCTCAGGTTCTAGCTTCAATTTTTCAGAATTACTTCCAGTTGGTGTTGAACTTTCCGCTTTGACTTCAGGATGTGCATCAACAGGAACAGTTACTTTTGATGAATTTGAACTAACAGCAGTCGGTTGGCTTGGGCAGAACTGGGGATAGTTCTGCTTTTCTATTAATCTATTTTCTGTCTGGAAAATTTGAGATTTCTGATTGATTGCAGCCTGCATGTTTGTCGCCCCTTCTAATGAAGTTCCGGTAGCAACAGGGACTTGTAGGGTGGATGCAAAGGCTCCAGATCCAGGATGGTTAACAAGCTGAGGCTTCAGCATCATCTTCATTAGTTTTTCAGAACATAAGTTTGAAACTGAGTATGGAAAATCCCCATTGCTAATGTCAGGAACCCTGATAATAGGTCTTTTTATCAAGTTTCCCCATTCAGTTTCAGTTGCTGTAAAATCAATATAGGAAAAAAATTTAAAAAAAAAGTAAGAATTAAGTGTTAATAACAATAAAAATAACACTTAGTGCAAAGAAACACACATTCTGCTAATAACAACCAAAATAATAAGTGTAAGAAACATATATTTTAGATAAATTTCATGGATAAAAACTGACCCAAAAGCCCAGGATGTAACGAGCGCTTGAGACCTGAAGTTAGCGACGGAAATATGAAGAGACTTTCAGGAGTCTCAATTTCCCATGCACTAACCCTGCTTTGTTTATCATTGCATCCAGGCTCATCCCACTCAACCTGTAAATAAAGTGCATGTGCAACTTTTAAAGATTAAAACTGGAAAAGGCATAAACAAAGCCCTGTATAGGAATTTCAGAGCCATATCAGAGAGGAAGATTTAGTTTTGACTTCAGAAGAACCCTACTACTTCACCTGCAGATTACGCCACTTCGAACCAGGCCACCTCAGAGGATCTAAGTCACTAATGCCAACTATTGTGCCCATATATCTACAAAAGAAGTGAAAACATTAGCCAAGCCAATTTGTTAGACAAAATGCACGAGTATGCAATATCATGCACTTGTAAAAACATAGGTATTTTTATTAGAAAAATTAGCAAGATCTGACTAAAAGATTACGAGAAATCTTGATCAGAAATTTGAGCTCTGAAGCTTCAGATAAAGAATATGGAGAGTAAAGTGAAAGTAGAGAGAGAAGTCTTCGAGTTAGGAAAAAGAAAGGCTGTATTTTCATTAATTACCTTCCAGTGTTTATGTACACAGAGTTGATGAGCTTAATTAAATGACTAACGACAACTAATTGTGTAATTACAAGGTAATTATAACTAACTATAGTTAATTGTTTAACTAATCAATTAACTATGGTTAACTCCTAACTATACTTCATCTATAGTTTACTAACTGTGGTTAATTCTAATAGCGCTCCTCAAAGTGGAGTATACAAGTTTTGTATACCCAGCTTGCTGATGGCTTGTTGAAATGCAGAATGTGGTAAAGCCTTTGTGAAACAATCTGCAAGTTGACAAGTGGATGAGACAGGCAGAAGATGAATTAACCTGTCAGATACTTTATGTCTAAGAAGGTGGCAATTGATTTCTATGTGTTTGGTACGCTCGTAAAAGACAGAATTTTCTGCAATTTTCATAGCTGACAGATTATTGCAGAAAAGAGCAGAGGTGGCAGTAAAAATCTCCAGATCATGAGATTGTTGTCACTACCAACCTCTCAAACCATAATATGGATTTATTACACCAAAGACCTGTGGAAGGATCTATATGACCAGTTTGCACAAGAAGACATGGTAAGAGTATCTGATTTACAAGAGGAGATATATTCGCTAAGGTAACCAGTCTGTGTCTTGAGTAGTTAATCGATTAGTTGAACAATTAACTGTTGTTAGTTATAATTACCTTGTAATTATGCAATTAGTTGTTATTAGTCATTTAATTAAGCTCATTAGTTCTGTGCATATAAATACTGGAAGGTAATTAACAAAAGTACAGCCTTTCATTTTGTTTTTCCTAATTCAAAGATTTCTCTCTCTCTACTTTCCCGATCTGTTGAAAAATCTAAAAATACACTGATCTAGGGTTTCCTCAAACCAGATCTAAATCAGCAAGATTATTTTTGAACAATAAAAGAGAAAGATTGCCCTGATACCATATTAGAAAAATGAGCAAGATCTGACTAAAAGATTACAATAAATCTTGATGAGAAATTCAAGCTCTGAAGCTCGAGAAGAAGAATCCAGTGAGATTGCAGAGAGAGTAAAGTGAAAGTAGAGAGAGAAGTCTTTGAGTTAGGAAAAACAAAATGAAAGGCTGTATTTTCATTAATTAACTTCCAGTATTTATATACACAGAGTTAACAAGCTTAATGAAATGAAAGTATAGTTTACTGTGGTTAACTCTAATAAGTTTTACAATTTATAAGTATCCCTATATCACTAAACAAAAGTTAGAAGTTGATGTCTAATAATTATATCAGTGTGTCTCCACGACAAACATATCAGAAACTCTGACCCGACCAAATTATTCCTGTTTCTAATAATGGTTGCATCAAGGTAGCAAAACAGTAGCAAAAGATTACAATAATCTATAATATTACCTGCGCTTACCAGACTCCTCTGTTTCAAACATCATCCCAAACCTCATACCAACTGAGAGTTGAGTCCCAAAAACAGATTTCCGGTATTTTGCCATTGGAATGACAAATTCTGAAGGGCATGCCCTACAGATAACAGGAAAAGTCAATGCACTCGAGAATATCTAACCACAAATGATGTTAACAAATGACTTCCAATAAAAATAACGACATAAAACAGACCTTGGATTGTAGAAAATTGTAAATGGGCTTCGATTAGCAGCAGCATGAGCTGCAGCAGCAAGGACACCTATGTGCATGCTATCAGCCGAAAGAACTGATGATGGTAGTGTTGTCTGTTGACGATTAGCACGCCTCACTCCTACCATTAACTGTGACTTTTCATCCCTTGCAATTAGAAAGGGCAGTCTGTGTCATTTAACTTTGACATTGCAATTCAGAAAGCAATCAGAAAATCATTCTAGCTCATCATTCAAATTGACTATTATGTTGCAATTTATCATGTTGCAACATATTTGCCACAAATTCTGCGTCCATGATAAATAAAAGCATTCATCGTTTTTAAAGTTTCTCTGGGTGGGTGTTGGGGGGGAG